TTCTGCTTGAAACCGGTCCCTGGTACAAAAAAGGTTGGGGACCACTGGTCTATAGTTTCCTGAGTCCATTTCCCCCCCTTTTTCCCTTTTTCATGATAGGAACCAAGTCACTCTATTCCAGTCCCCTGGTAGTTTCCTGGTGCTCCAGGATCTTTGGAAGATATAATACAGTGGTTCCGAGATCACATCTGCCAGCTCCTTCAAAATCTTGGGATGTAATCCATCTGGACCTGGAGATTTTCACTCATCTAGGGTAGGTAGGTGTTCTCTTTATCATTTTCTTGCCCATTTTGATCTGTATTCCTAATCTGTCTTTTAACAGTACTGTTTTTGATTGGCTGGACTTTTTTTTTTTTTCAATTCAAAACTCAAGCTTGTTTTTGATCACTGATCAGAATAGACTGTACTAACTTTACAAATCCTAACTTTGTTCACAAGAAACCATCATTTATGGTTACAAAAGAGTTATTTTCTGGTTCCTCAATCTCATGGTCAGATCATTGAACTGGAGTCTGAATTGATTGTAGCCTCAGGTCCATTTGAGGGGGATCAGGGCTCAAGGCCCCCAGATTTGTAACTATCTGTTTCACCTTTTCTCCCAATAAAGAGGTATGAATGACTGTTTAGGAATATTCCCTTTGCTGGTTTGGGGCATTTCTATGCCATGTTTGTGGTTATTTCTACTATTGCTATTGATGTCCTAGGGAGGTTGTTAAGCGCTTAAGTTCTCAAAAAATCCCTTCCCATTAAAGGGAAAGTGGGTGTGCGGGGGAGGGGGTTCATCAAGATCTGAGCCTGTTAAGCAGACAATTTCGTAAGGCTATTGCCTTATTTGTCTGCACAGCTCCCCTACCTTATTACATTCTCCATAGGCTGTGTGATTAGTTTTATCAGATGTCTGTAGAAAGCCCTTCAAAATTTCAATTTTGGTGCAATTCCCTTTACAACATTATCCTTCTGTTGAGCCAAAGTCTCATTTAGTTCCACCATTTGGCTCTTTTGCAGGTGGTAATCAGCTAGCCAAACATGGTAGTCATTTTTCAGTTTTTCAAAGTCTCTTTTTAAAGAGCAGTTCTCTTGACTGTAATTGCCTGAAGAGCTTATCCATTTGGGTCAGCCCAACTCCCAATAGTACTGCTAACACTCCAAGTAAATCTTTCTGTTTCTTTCCGCTTAATTTGTACAGTTTCCCAAATTCTATCTTAATATTTCTCCCTGAATATACTGATTTCATTTTCTCCTGCAAGTCATCAGTAGGCAATCCCAACTTCTCAAGCAGTTTCTCCATCACTTCACAAAATACCAAATCCATTTCCCCTCCTCAGAATTCTCCAGTAGAGCTGTAGCCCGGGCAGTGATAAAGTATCCTTTTGTCAGTCATCCCAGATTTCCACAAAGGCATAACTGATAACTCAAATAGTAAATTTAAACTGTTTAATCTGTGTATTTCATTCTGACACCAATAAAAGTATTGCACACATTCCCAGGTTTGTTTTACGGACACTCACAGCCCTGGTCAACGGTTGGGAAATGATTAGGGTCATACTCAAACCACTTTCAATTGAACATTGAGGCACAACAGGTTCTTTGGAATACATGGAAAACCAGTGAATTTAAAGTACAGCAGAACTTTCCTGGTTACAATGCACATCTGCTATTCTTCCCCCCTGTGCATACGCATGCACACACTAATCCACACTTACCCATATCCTTCACCAGCTAGAGCAATTTAAATCTGTTTCGAAAGACTACAAAGAGTGGGCAGGCTTCAGTGGGCAGATTTCTTTGCTTTCTGAGTCACAAGACTGGCAACTACTATTGCCTTGTTAACAGTCTGGTAGCTGTTGATGGGACTTGGTGCGGGGAAAGGTTCCTTGTGCTCAGACCCAGCTTCTATCTGGTTTGGGTGACATTTTTTTCCTCTGTTCCCCCAACAACTTGGTTCTTTCTTAACTACAGGTGGTCCCCAACTTACAACAATTCATTTAGTGACCCTTTGAAGTTACAGCGGCATTGAAAAAAGTGACTTATGACCATTTTTCACGCTTGCGACTATTGCAGCATCCCATGGTCAGATGATCAAAATCCGTCAGACACTTGGCAACTGACTATTGCAGTGTGCCAGGATCACTTGATCATCTTTTGCAACCTTCTGGCCAACAAAGTCAATGGGGAAGACAGATTAACTTAACAACCGCATTGCTAACTTAACAGTTCCAGTGATTCATTTAACAACTGTGTCAAGAAATGTCATAAAATGGGACAAAATTCACTTAACTTGCTTAGCAAACAAATTTGGGCTCAAATGCAGTTGTATGTTGAGGACTGAAGGAGGCAGACAAGATTCCTGGCTTTCCTGGTCTACCCTGCTTCTTTAGCTATAGCTGCTTCAGCCGAGAGAGTCCCACAGTAACAATTTTCCAGCAACAACTAAATCATTCCCTCTCACTGGATCCTCTGCATCCATCAAATTCTTCCCTAGTACTTTAAAACAGATTGTGAGGTAACTACAGTGATATTGAAGGTAGACAAATCTATCTGAAACAACACTGGAAATTTAGTCTTAACAAAAAAGCATAGTACAAGGCTTAAAAGTAATCTACTAAAATAATAAAATCAGCAATCAAGCAATTAACAAAATAACTAGATTTAAATTTAAAAAGCAGAAATTTTCCCCAGGATACATATAAATGTATAAGATTGTGGTACAGTTCCAGCTTAAAAAGGGGATGGAAAAAACAAACTAGCGAGCTTGAAATCCCTCTAGTGGAGGAAATAATGGAGGGCCCTTAAGAACTTTGAAGGCTTTATCTGAAGAGCTGTAAAGAGAATGCAGTTAGTCTGGTAGGCAAAAACAACCCCCCTTCCCCCCAATTTTGATCAGTTCACTGTGTCATTCTAGTTCTGGGCACCTGACAAAGACTGAAATGTTTCTGACCAGCTTCCACAGAAAGGAAAAGTATAAACCAACACCAAAATATCCAAAGTATTGAAACAAATTTTAAAATGCAAATGCACAATACACATCTCAAGATATTCAGATGAAATACATACTGTTGTATTTTAGACAAAATTACTAGTATTACTAATAATGTCTTAAAAATTCTTTTATCAAGACTATGTTCTCCTCATATAACTTCCTGCACGTTCTTTTTTTTCCTTGTCAAATCCCCAAGCATTTGCTTAAATTCAATGAGCCCCTTGTTAGAGTAGTATCATCCCTATGTCAACCAAGTTCTGCTAGTTGTCTTGACTGGGCTAGAAACAAGTTTCTGTTCCCCTATATTTCTGTGTTCATGGGATTTCTTGGTGCAGTGGATCTCAATATTCTATCCTTGTTGCTGAACTAACCACCAAAATCACATTGTCCCACTAGCTACATTTAACCATAGCCTCCCTTGTTCTCAGACACTCTTGGCTAGTAGGTGAGCTTTTATAGAGATGATGGGACTAAGAATTGCACACTGGAGGGCTGAGATTAGGGAAGACCTTCAAAACCTATGAACAAGATAATAAAGCAAGTATATATACTGGCAAAGCTCAGACGCTCCCCAATTTCTAACCTCCTTTTCAATGCCATTTCTGCAAGAAGATTCTTCCAACCAAGCACTGATACTTCTTTACTCATAGTATTACTATTACTTTTGATTATACTTGTATGCTGAGACAATTATGTTGTCTCACAATAATCCACCTTGGCTTTTATTTTAATTTATATTCATAAGCAAGGCAGAAAGTAATATAATTCTCTGAGCGAAGTTCTGAGAAAGATAATGACAAGTTATATAAATAAGGCACATATGGTGTGCAATAAGATCTTAATACATTGTAAGAACTTTCCCCCTCTATTGCTTGTTTACAAGAATTACTTGTTTAAAAGTACAAATGTTTCTGAATGCTATCACATATGCTGTACTTCACTCCAAGAGAAACTGATAAATCTCAGAAAGTCTTCACAAAGGACTTTACTTGTCAGTCAGGAAAAGTTTTTTCCTCAGGGTGTGCTTCAATAAGAGTAAGTACCGTTCTGTAGAATTAATCCTATTCCATTCATAAACTCTGTTGTTCAACTCCACAAAAATATCCAACAGAGACAGCTTTCTGCAAGGAAAAAGGAGGGAGAGAGAAAAATAAATACCTTCAGCATGAGATTACATACATTTTATAAGTAAAAGCTGCAGGTGAACAGCTCCAGATTTTGCAAACATGTCCAGTTCTACCCTTCAGCTGAAGGTTATTCAACTACTCTTAAGGCAGTGGCTCCCAACCTTTTGGGCACCAGGGACTGGTTCCATGGAGAGAACCGGAGCGATTTTCTTTCTGGGTACCAGAGTGGGCATGGTTTCACATGCTGTGAATGCATGCATTCTGTGGATGAGGCTTCACTTGTTTGTGCAGCCCATTTTCTGGCATGCTGTGGCCTGGTGCAGATTCACGGACCAGGGTTTGAGGACCTCTGCCCTAAGGCACACTCGGACTATGTGCAGTATTTGGGATGTTTGAGCATGCAGAGATGCAAACATAGCACCTCCTTGCATGTAAATATGTTTAGGAGAACTTGAGGCTTTGTGTTTTGCATGGCTTCTCCCAAGTAAGAGCCACTCCTTGTATTACCTGGAGGATGTAACAGGGTAACATTTATTCGTTGATGAATTCTTCAAGATGTTTTCCCTGCTCATGGGACAGAAAGATGTGTTTGTATTAGTGTTTCCATCACTTGTCTGGAATAGAGGCCTTATGTGTTTATTAACCATCAGAAGCCCCTCAGTTCCCTTTTATAAAGAAATGTATATGGAGGACATTGCTCAGTTAGAGGGAAACCACTACATTTCTATAGCGTATTTTTGACCTGTGTCAAAATTGTCTCACTTCTGTCACTCTTTCTGCAGGAACCAATACCAATACCAATGCTTACCTTATTGCTGCAAACCAAGCACTGTCGGAATGCTGTTTTCATATTCCTATCTATTTTCCATTCTCCCAAAGAACAGCATGGCTCCTGCATGGCTATAGTATCTGACATAAACACCTACCTCTTCTGAGGATCCATCAGAAGGCCAGCCAAAGTGGAGAGATAATAGGACGATGAGCATGGGGATCTCTCCAATACAGAGGCATCCAATGTGCAGTGGCTCCAGAAAACGTCTGCTACTTGTGGTATTGTGCATAGATTTCCATCTGCCTCTGTCAGGCTGGCATTTCCTTGCCAATTTGGGGGCTCAACATAGTTTTGGATAAAAAAGAGCTTTGGTTTTCCTAAGAGATCAGGACACCTTTCGCCAGTAAAGAAATCCTTCAGCCTTTCCAATTGAAATCCTGGAACAATATGGTCTGTGCAGAATATATGTTGATCATCTCCTCGACTGACAAGTATACAAACAAAACAATCTGCATCTTTGTGAGCTCTTAGCCTTGCTGTTTCATATAAATCATGCACCACTGCATCCATATTCAGAAACAATCGACAGTGAACTTCAAAGTGTAGTGATTTAAAGGTTTTCATCAACAAGCCTAGAGAGAAAGAAGCAGGAGCAAGAATACCACGCCAGTTAGTAGGTTAGTGAATGTAAAATTTACCTGTATGGCCCTCAAATATGAAAATAATTGGGGACAGCAAACTGTATCTTGGAATATTAAGGATACTATGGAAATACATAGGCAAGAATTTTTAGAGCTACAAGGAAAAACTCTTTGAAGATAAGGAGACTCATGAAATCTACACATCAATAGTGCAGAAAGAAAACCATTACAACAAGCTCAGGAAAAGCCCGTGTTACCCAGTGTAAGATTCTGTAAATAGCCATAATTGAGGGCTGCAGCAATCTAACATTTGGCAATAAAATTCAAGAAAACTGGTCTTATAATCAATGTCCCTAATTTGTACTTTTATCATTAACTAGCTGGATACCTGTGCTTCGCAAAGAAACTGTGATCGGGCTATGCAAGAGAAATTCGGTTCACAATCCGTTGGCTCAGTGGTGGTCAGTGATTGAAACACATACTGTAAGGGATTCCTTTCCTTCTTTCCTCCTTTCCTTTTTTTTCTTTCCTCCTTTCTTCTATCTATCTATCTATCTATCTATCTATCTATCTATCTATCTATCTATCTTCTGTTACTAAGGTAACGGAATGTGAGGCAACTGGCAGTTGGAACAGACTTCTTTTCAGATGGGGAGGGGGAGTAGAACTCCTTAGCATCAGAGCGTGTTAATTACTGCATTAAGAAATATTAATGATCTGATGGTCATTTCGAAACATGGTTTCTTAGCAAGCACCTAGTAGCCAAGAGGACCATACATGCCAAATTTCAAGTTTGTAGGCTTTACAGTTCTGGAGATTTCGTGATGCTGCGTGAGTGGTATTTCGTTTTTAAAGATAGATTTGGCTTTCTCAACATTTCTCAAAGGTTAAATATCTAGAAGAAAGGGCAAGACTACATAATTCCTCCATATCAATTTGATACCAATGAGACTGGTAGCTGTCTATCAGCAGCAGGGGATCAAGACTTAGAAGGAAAACCAAATGTTCCCATATTTCCCAGAAAAGTATATTTTGCACACCCTACTATTTATTTTTAGACATTATGCTGTTGTGATAAATTATGCATACCGAAGTGACCAAATGAATGTAGTGTAGCAATTCTGGCAGGAAGGAACAACTTGATTTCCATTGCACTTACCTGCATCATTGCCAATGCAGTCAATAATCAGGCAGACTCCTAAAGGTTTGCTTTGCATTCTGTACTTGTTACAACCCTGCAAAAATAACATCATGAATGAAGCCTCTTACTCTAAATCATCAGCACAGCACTTCCTGTCTATTTTGCATCATCTAATTAGTTTTGCCTTTGTGTGGCAGAAAACAGCAAGGAATAATGGCTTCTCAGAGCCCTTTCTAAAACATGGGCCTTGGGAGAAGCATTACATACTGGAGAGCTATGCAGTACTTCAAATTCAAAGGCAAAAAAGACAAGGGGCACGTGTAGTGTGTGTTTGCCAAACTTGAAACCAAATAAAGATGTTTCCAGAATTATACCAGCTGTAGTGAGCACACTGAGAAAAGATGCAATAGCCACCAAGTTGTTGCAAGTAGCTATTTACACATTGTTCACATTCAGCAAAAAACAATTTTCTGCCTTTGCATTTGAAGCACAACACAATTCTAACATTTTGCCTTGAACCAAGGTGTTCTGTGCTGACTGCTTCCTTTGTGTAACTCTACCTGGGCTCAATTCTATACTGATCAATACAGTACCAAGACATGTTACATGTACAAAGACACATACTTTTGTGTGTGTGTAAATACATATCTATGAATACACACACGAGATGATCAATCTTTGACTCTATAAGCAATATTCTGCCCATGGGATCCTGACACATAAAAACAGGAAGAAGAAATTTCACTAATTCTCCCAATTTTTTTTTTTTTTTAATTTGTTCTGGAAATTTGGAAGATTCTCCAGAACAACAAGAAAATTGTCAAGGAAGGAACTTTCCTGTTGATGGGACAGCTCAGAATTGCAGAATTTTTCTCCAATAATCTGTCCCAGGACAGTTTTCTCCAACCTTTGCCCTCTCAATATGAGGAAAGGTTGACTTTTTCTTCCCCAGCTGTCAATTCAATTCAGAGTGATTTGAGTCAGAAATTTTCTCACTATGAATAATTTGGGAAGTCCACAGGCAACACCCAAGTACAGTATGAAGTGTATGCAAACTTGGAATGAAGGGTTATAGATTGGACTCCAGCCACCAAATACTCACAGACTAGTATAAAAATAAATTGTCATGCAAACAAGAAGCCAATTGCAGAAGCCAGCATAAAGGGATTTATGGAGGCTGGATTTCTTATCATTAGCTTTCATGTTTTTCGGTGTTTACTGCTACTTACTGTATTCTATTTTGCATTCCAGTTTGTTTTCACTTTCCCTCTCCATAGTGGGGAACATGTTGCAATGCATTCCATTGTTTAAAAAGGCAAGGGAAATACAACTTAATTTTAACAGACCAAATAAGGCAGAAACTGAAAGTGTATTCAGTTATTTCCTAATGCTATATCACTCTTTTAATTCCTAAAATGCGTCCATACTAAACAAAAAGATGTGTACTGCTTATCATAATTTTGCACAATACCTGTACTTCTGTTTCTGGAATGGATATGTGAATCTGTTCTGCTGTAGATATAATAAAAATGCCCGTTAGTTGCATTCTGCCTACATTCTTCAGAATATGAAACCTAGTGAAAACTCATGCAAGTTTATATAAAGTAACAATCCCCTCCAAACTGTTAGTCTGCATAATGCCTTTCATTATGAACAGGAATCAAAGTTCACATATTTAAAGGACAGTAGGTTGCAAAGCTTTAGGATCACAACATTTTAACTAGCCAAACTATCCTGCCAACTCTATCATTGTCAGATGAAAATAAAACACCCAGGAAGGCACCAGTGACTGAAAGGGAGTTCATGATCTATGTCTCTTAAATGAGATTTTTAAACCATATTGAGCATATACTAGAAAAAGGTACTCTGATGGGGTAACGGGATTGTAACAGGATAGTAACAATTTATCCAAAAAAGATAGTGAGTAGAGTTGGGTTTAGAAAAAAAAACCCAGTTCAAATACTTAATTAAGGTTTTGGTTTTTTTTACAAATATTCAAAAAACACAAAATGCAAGATGTATTATTCCCAAGTAGCCAGGGATGGAATGGCTATAAAGATATAACAGGGCTTACCCTGGACAGCACAGGCTCCATTCATTACTCTTTCCTTGTTCACAGGCTGTAAAAATTAAATATCAAATCACTTTTTGTTCCTGGTGGAAAACTTTTATATTTGCCTGGTTGTGATAGCAGAAAAAGCATATTCTAGACAGGTAATTAGGAAAAAAGATCTAAAATATAAACTGCTTAATAATAATTTTGGCTTTTAAATATGATTACACAAATCCATTCAAAGTAAATCAATGGCTAATATCTCTTAAGATATGGGTGTCAAACTCGATCGTGTCACATAACATCACGTATTGCAACCTTTTTTGCCTTCGTAGAGCTGAGGTGGGCCTACATGTGATATATCCAGCCTGCGGGCCGCCAGTTTGACACCCTGCTCTAAGAACTAATGGAACAGTCTTTTTCACAGCTACCATATAGTATTTCTTAGCATCAGTTTTGTACAGCCTCCATAAGCTGATTGAAATATTTGACTAATTAGGTAAGAAATATAAGGCTAGACTGACTAGACCGTCCTCTAATCTGGCAGATCATTTTTTATTCCTTATCCTACGGCATGTTTTGCCCAGGAAGATACAGTTCATACATATCTGCTTGCTCTTTTGTAAAGGGGATATTATCTGGCCTGCACTTGAAGCACACGCTATGCAGCGCATAGCAGGGTTTCTGACTGAGGAAAAATAACTCAGAAATAAGAATCTGTTTCTGCAAACATTTTGCATCCTCCCATTAGGCTAGGACAGACCGAGTCCGACTGCTCTGAGTTTGTGATCCTCATTCTTATGGTTCTATTCACTGATAATTCCAACCCTCTCTTTTTATCCCAGTTAAGCTTTCCTACATGAAGAAGGTGCTTCTATAGCTTAGTTTCTGCCCATCCTCTTTTAGGGAAAAACAAAAAACACAAAATTGCCATTAGCTGAAAAGGAAAATCAAGCAGCACAACTATTTACTGACTCAGTGAATGGCTGGTGGAGAGGGGGTAAACCCACATACTCTCCATAGGGATAAGGTGCTGGGTTCATACAGCATTTCAGATACATTTGTTATGATCCTTTATGGGGGTGTAGAAATAGGTTATATACATTTAACAAAAAATAGTACACTGGAGTATATTGATCAAAAGTTTTGGGGATTTGGTATGAGAGTCAAACTCACAAATTTAATCTCATCACTGCAGTTTTTAGACGATTGGTTGATTTATCAATTACACCGATTTATATAGCTGCCCATCTTGCAATGGCATTTTTTTTTTACTATGGTAACTAAAAGTGCACCACAAATACCGTGTTTCTCCAACAATACGGCCTCCACCAATAGGAAGACCCAGCATGTTTTCTAGGCATAAAATCAAATTAAGCCCCTCCCCCCAAATTTAGGCCTAGTTTAAAACATGCAAAATAGGGGGAAGGGTGGGGGGACTTGCCATTTGGAGTGCCGTTGGAGCTGCCACCACCGTTTGGAGTGCCGTTGGAGCTGCTGCCGCCGTTTGGAGCTGCCTCTGCCGTTTGAAGCTGCCGCTTCCGCGTTTGGAGCACTGCCGCTGTTTGGAGCACCACCGCCACTCCAAACACAACGGCAGCTCCAAACACGGAAGCGGCAGCTCCAAACGTGACGGCGGCACTCCAAACGGCGGCGTCGGCTCCAAACGGCAGAGGCAGCTCCAAACACGGAAGCGGAGCCACCGCCGCCGTTTGGAGCTGCCGCCACCGTTTGGAGTGCCGCCGTCACGTTTGGAGCTGCCGCTTCCGTGTTTGGAGCTGCCGTCGTGTTTGGAGTGGCGGTGGTGCTCCAAACAGCGGCAGTGCTCCAAACGCGGAAGCGGCAGCTTCAAACGGCGGCGGCGGCTCCAAACGGCAGAGGCAGTTCCAAATGGCGGCAGCAGCTCCAAACGGCAGAGGATAGCTCCAAACGGCGGCAGCAGCTCCAACGGCACTCCAAACGGCAGCGGAATGGGCAGAAGGGAAAGCAACAGCGGCAGGTGCCAAAGGTCTTGGGTCTGCAGCAAAGGTGTTTGGTGGGAGTAGGGAGCTCTCTGCGCTTCGCCATGATCGCCCGTTAGGAGCGGCTGGTGGCGAGGCTGCCCACGGGGCGCTCTAGATGAGGATGAAAGGGGGGAAATTAAGTTACCCCCGAAAAGACGGCCTAGCCGTTTTTTCGGGGCTCAAAAAAAAATAAGGCCCGGCCTTATTATGTGAGAAACACGGTACAATCCGAAAAAGAAGAAAATGCTACTCTGGGGCATTCTGACATCTGTCCTGGTCACTCTTCTTAAAGAGTTTTTATTTTCAGCATGGCAAGAAGTGGGCTTTTGGAGAGGCAGCTAAGAATGGAAGGGTGTCTGTGCATCCCAAAGGATGGCCTGAATCCTCCATCTTTCAAGTCCAGTGGGTATATATGGAATTCTGAGAGCTCCAGATACAAAATTCTGGAATTTTGGGAGATCACTTAATCTCCCAAAATGGTTACTATTGGGAAAGGGAAAGTGTCCTTATTAAAATAGCTGTCCTAGCAGGTAAAGGCCTTTTCAAATTAGCTGTTTAACAAAACAACTTGAAATGCTCCTTAACTCGCCACTGAGCAGGTTTTCCACCCCCTCGTTTCTCCTGGTCAAATGGGCAAATTTCAAAACAAAACATTGCATCAAAAAACTTTCTGGGAAACAAAGATAATGATGGAACTAATTTTAATTTGGCTTAAATGCTGTCCCCCCTTTTAAAATTGTTTGTTTAAAACATCTCTAATACACTATACAAAAAGATACAAAGGGGGAAGAGAGTTCCCTACTAATTTCATCAACACAAGTCCTTTGATGCTGAAAACAAGAAAGCACAGCTTTTAGGCCAACTCATTAAGGTCACAGCTGATATTAGAAAATGATCAATCCCATGCAATAAACTCCTTCTTTTCAGTGGTTAAGGTTGCAAATTTGTCTATAATCTTATAATGCACTTACCTCTGGAGGGTCAGCTAGGGATAACTTAGGTAAGGACATCTGAAGAGTGTTTGTATTCATAGTTGGAAAGCGCACTGGAACTGAAAATGGAAGAGATCTCAGAAATTACATCAACAGTGGTTATTTTGTAAAACAACTGTTCTGCTCAAGTCTCTTCTACCTCTACATGCTGCATGTAGTTTTATTTAAAATCCCATCACTACACTACCCTAAGAAGGAAATCCTACCATTTGCATCAAAGAATGTTTATATTTCTAGTATTTATAAGAAAAAGTTCTTGATATTTGAATTATGGGAGTTGTTAAATCTATGTGGTGCTAAGAGCCAACATTTTGATGGCATAAACCAATGCATTTAATAGCCTGTAAGTAGATGAAAAATAGAAGTAATACAGGTAGACATTGATTTACAACCACAACTGGATCAGAATCTTGGTTGTTGAGCATCAAGTGAGTCACTCACATGACTGCTTCATTCAGTAACAGAAATCCTGGCTCTCCTAGTTGCAGTATTTTAAGCAACCATGTGAACTGTTAGATAGACAGAGCAAAAGTAATGCCTAGAGAAGAATGCTATTTCCCCTCCATGTGTGGAAAGATCCTGCCTTTATTATTTTTACAAGTAACTCAAGAAAGTAAACATATTTAACATATCTTCCTCTTCCTCTTTTTCCCACAACAACCCTATGAAGTGAGTTGAGCTGAGAGGGAGTGACTAGCCCTAGGTCACCCAGTTGGCTTTCATGCCTAAGGCAGGACTTGAACTCAGAGCCCTTGCTTTCTAGCCTAGCGCCTTATCCACAAACCAAACTGGCTCTCAGTCTAGACCAAAATGGCTATTTCTTAATAATTTCATTAAGAAAAGCACAAAGCCCATGGTGCTAGTTTCTTTTTTTCCTTCTTTTAATTTATTTGGCAATCATAAACTTACTCTTTACAAAATTTTCAGCCTCTTAAAAAATAGGAAAGGAGTGAGAATAGATACACAACATTGTTCAAGTATTGTGATCAAAGCTATCCACTATTTCACTGTTCTGCATGGTAAGCTAATAGCCCTGTATAGACACTGATTGCTGCTCATGTATGTGAGGAGAAGCAGAGAGATCTTCTAACATATCCTCATTACCTGCTATACTATAAAGGCCGATGCTTGGGAGGATGGGTAGTACATGTTCCATATGTTTGTAGACGCTCAAGATTTAGAATGAGGGAAAAACCAAGGCACAGAATATTAGAACAGAAAGCTCTAAGCTCTACTTGATGTCGGGAGGATTGTTCATATAGGTAACCAAAATCCCAAGGAACAAGTTCATTCCTGCATTCTCCCTTCCCAAATTCTCATTACGTGAGAAATGATTTTTTTATATATTATTGTACTGCTAATATTACCATTTTCAGCTAAGACTTAAATGGGTTGATGAGAAGATGAAATTATTGGTTTTGTATTGTTTCCACATTTCTGAACTCAACAACTTGTTTAGATACTTACTATTAGCAGCATTCCTATGTATGTTTACATATCAATAAGCCTCGCTGAGTTCGGTACAATTTTCACCCAAGTAGCCCCAGAGATTCCTCCAACTACGGTAGGTAGGTAATGCAGAACTCTCTTTGTCAGTGAAGACAGCAAACTATGAGAATTAGCCTCTAAAGCTGAATGGCAAGACAGAGCAAATCTTACCTTCTAGTTTGTACTTTTGAATCTTTTTTGCCAAGTCTCTCCTGTGAATGGTCAGGAAGCAATTTTCTATTAAATCCAGATGCATGGGAGATATCAGGTCCAGCTTTTCCAGGTCAGTAATAATTGCCAGAAAACTCTAGAAAAATCAGACAATAATTGTAAAGGAGAAACCAACACCCTCATGATAAATTGTAGTTATATATTAAACATTCATGGAATATAGAAAGATTGATAGTACAGTATCTGTCTCCCCTACTTAGGTCAATATATTACTTTACAAACTTTACCCTATACTAATCCTGCAAGGGAGTTTTTGGAATTTCCAGTTTTACTAATGAGGAAGGGATTACACAACACAGTAGCTTGAACTTGAAACTAGCAGCAGAGTAAGTTCATTTCAGTGAGCAAGCTGGAACCAGGATGTTTCACTCCAACACATCCCAGTACTTCTCTATATATTTTAGAGCACCATACCAGATTGGCTCATAGTTAGGATGACAGAAATTTTTGTCCAAATCACCTGGAGGGCCCAGAATGGAATTATACTTTTATTACAAATCATTCTAAGAAACATACAATCGGTGAAAGGGACTGCTGAGCAGTTGTCAGTATCAAGTAAAATTAAATAAAAACAGTTCTGGATTAAATTAATCTACCAGCTAAAATTCTGCTTCATGTATGTCAACAAGTGACAATAAAGACAACAACTGGAAGTCATTAGTAGCACTGGTAATTCCCAAATGAACTTGCTTGCAGTTTCAGTATTTTATTATCACTGACCACCTAGATAGAAATCAATATTCTCAGTATCTTAATGCAGGAACAACTGTACTGTTAAGTGGACTTTATGGAAAGAGAAAGAGAAAATGCTATTATACTGTACCTATTATGCTGAGGAGCTATTTATTCATTCTTTCATTTATAATTTGAAGTGGCCTGATTATAACAGAAGCCAGCTTTCTATCCCATTAAGTTTACTGCTTTCTATCCCACTTATTGATTTAGCACTATCTTTCCAAAGTTTGATTTATAAAGCATACATCATAGCTGCATCGTGCATGCTGCCGTGTTACACCTGCAATGGGAAGGAGGCAGAGCCAACAGATAAAAACCAGGACATCCTTGTTCCTTTCTCTGTGTTCATTCACTGTAAACACACAGAGAACTGTGATGAATTACTATCATGCTCATGTTAAGTTTACCTTCTCCTTGTGCGATGTATCAAGATGATTTTTCAGAAGGAAAGAGAGAGACCTCAAGTCTTCTTTTTCCAGATCTTCATTGATTTCAGTCATCAACACCCTGCACACAAACCCAATTTGTAATCAATTTAAAAGTAAATTAATTTTAAAAAGGTTTTGCTCTCCTACCTAGGGGCTGTGTGTGTTACATATTCTTATACAATATTCCTTTCTTAAACTGTATTTTAACCACATATGTATTTTTCAACCAACAAGTATTAATAGTTAAGAGCAAGACAGGGGTGGGATTCTACTGGTTCTGTCCGGCCCTGTAGAACCGGTAGCTCTGAAGAGCAGCTGACATAGAACCGGTTCTATGTCTGCTGCTGTTTTGGCCCACCTGCCCGCCCGGGCTCTTACGTGACCTTTATTTCCTGGTTTTTCAACCTTAGCTGCTTTGCGCGGCACAGCTGTGGTTGAGAAGGCAGGAAAATTAGGGCTTTTTCAAATGCTGCGCACAGCGCTGCTCAGCTGTCCAGACAGCAAGCTGACGATGTTTCACACATGCGCGCAAATCACTGAACCGGTAGTTACACCGGTCAGATCCCACCCCTGGAGCAAGACCAAATGAATAACAAGAACCCCACCCAAACAAAAAAATACCAAGAGTAAAAATAGAGAACATGGCTTAATAAAATCAGGAAAAGGTATTCAGGAACAAATTGATATTTGAAAGCTATTATAGTTATTTTGGACTATAATTCTTATCAGTCCTACACAGAATAGTGAGGTATGCACTTCACTTTGCGCTCTGCCGTCCACGGAGAATAATACTGGTGTGGGCAATATTGAATTAATTGGGCTAGTAATCTAACAGTGCACAGCAGCTTCCCATAACAATAATATATCAATTTTCCTTTTGCACATCCTTTGTACACCATAAATATATTCATTGCTGAAGCTCAGTTCATGTATGGATATGAATGAAGACAGGGATATTTTGGATATCCTGCTAAATTCCAACTCTACAGATTTTGATGACTCTTCTGACATACTGATGGCTTATTACCTGAATTTCAGGTTTTTATACTAGGACAGATTCCCCATTCTAGAGCCTTCCAGATTGAGACCAAAGCTCTCATAAAATGCTAGTTCTGATTTATTTGGGATGCTCCAACGCCTGCAATGGACTGTAATTCACCCTGCATCTCATGTAGGATTTGTTGAAAATCCTTAAGAGGAAAACAGTCCTTGCATTAGTTGTGGTAAAATAAAAAATAAAGAAGGATATCAGAGCAATTTTATATTTCATTATAAAATCAGGGGTGGGATGCTACTGGTTCTGCCCAGCTCTATAGAACCGGTAGTTCTGTGCCTGCTGCTTTGCGTGGCCCACCTGCCCGCTGGGCTCTTACCTGACCTTTATTTCCTGCTTTTTCAACCTCAGCTACTTTGCATGGCACAGCTGAGGTTGAAAAAGCAGGAAAAAAATGGTTTTTCAAACGCTGCGCACCCGCGCACAGCACTTATCAGCTGTCCGGGCAGCACAGCTTTAGGTGTATTACATGCGTGCGCAGCGTGTAAAACATAATCAACGAACCAATAGTAGCACCGGTTGAATCCCACCCCCGTATAAAATGTTTACATACAAGTTAACTTTGGTTTGGGTTTCAGTTGTTTATTCGCTCCCTTGAACAAATAATTAGTGTAAATAACTGTGATTTCTCATACCTATGGTGGCCTGAATGATCAAGTTGCATGAATGGTATATTTATTTTTTATTTTAAAAGATTTATATTAAATTTCTATAACCACCCATCATAGTTGACAATTTATGGATCACTAACATTATTTATAACCTAATACTGGATCATTATTCTCCCAAAATCATTTTTCAGTTTATGGAAATAGAATTAAGATCTCACAGAATTTTACAATTCTGGTGTTATCATACAACAGAACATTTTCAAGAGAAGCAATTCTTAGAAACAGAAACCAGTGGAAATAAACTGTCCAATATAGAGGTGTAGGTTTTTCAAAAGCCCAGAATGCTCTTCAACTTAGCTCACCTGTATTTTGACAACATCTGAGAATGCTTGGCTAAATTGGCTTCCACAGCTGCTCTTCCAGTCCCCAGGAACTTCCTTAACAAGTCAAATCTTTTCAGCCTGTATAATAGTTCAGATAAGTTGATGGTGGACAGCATCTCCTTTTCATTCAAAGTTGTCAAGAGTTGTAGGACATCAGACATAGGTACGTCAGGCATGAGATCGCCGCACAAGAAGAGCATGGTTTCCTTTTCATCTGTATCCAGTTCCTGTTCAAGCTGGTAAAGGAGGGATGCTGGCATACTGCAAAATGTCATCACAGGCCACTATCCCTTTACAGTTCTCTGTGTATGTTTTAAACAAGAAAAGCCACGTCATGAGGCTTGCTACTTAATGCAGAGTCTGCCTTGCTTGTTGATCTTCAGTATCCAGGCTTCAATTTATGCTTTATACATATATATATCAAAAGACCATGGACAAGAAGAGAAGACCTAGAGAAACCCAAATCATTTTAATCACACACAACGATTAAGTTCACCGATGGCATTCCTTCTGCCATCTCATCTGCTGCTACATTTGTTCATTTGCTCAGGTTGGGAACAGTATGAACCTTTTCAAATTAAATAATGCTGAGGATGAATCAAAACGGAATATCCAGTTTTCAACAAACTTCTCACTATCACACCACTTAGAATGCCCAGAGGAACTGAAACTGAAATTAAGCAAAAGGTACAGAATGAAAATGGGAAATCACAATATGCCATTGATGTCCATAAAATGTCTCTTTCAGTAAAATTATGCTTTATGAAAAAGAGATTTAACTCTTCAGGAAAACACGTGTCTTTGGGCATTTCCACAGAGAACTGGAAAAACTGTCACTTGAAGTCCTGGGGAACTAACATTGTGAACATTACTGAATAGGATGGGCTGACTTAGTTCTTATACAGCAGCTTCCTCTGTTCATAACTTCAAATTCTAACAGTAGGTTTTGTATCACGCTCCATTTAGAATATTTACAGAGCATTTAAAATATTTACAGTGTTTATTTTACTATATTTAATGGAAAACGACTATGAGTTTTAAGTCTAAGAGGTCTTTAGGGGGCGTGCATAAGCGCACCAACGTGCCTACCATCCCTGTCCTATTGTTTCTTTTAATTATCTTATAATTGCTTGACAAAATAATAAATAAATAAAACTTCACAGGTCAGAAAAAATGATTTATATGCAAAAATTCTGTGCAATACTCAGTTTTTCCAGTGATCAAACAAGAATTGTTAACCAATCCAGATACCCTTATGCCTCATTTTAAAAAAAAGTATGCGTGTGTGGTGTGTGTGTGTGTGTGTTTGTATGTGGAGATCCCTAAAAAATGCATATACATATGAACAGATATTCATGTCTGTCTCATGGAAAAGCTTAAAGTATTGTAAGTGCCCCTGCTTATAACTGATTCCCTTTCTACTGTTATGTAGAGGGAGGTTTATTATATAAAAATTAACTTTTTTTCCTTGTATCAGCATAGATACTTATTCATATTGTATGTATGAACCTCTAGTAACCACACAGATACTTTTTACACAGAAACACTATAGAAGAACACAAATACACACATTCCCCTCCTTCCTTCTAGCACATGGGTGTCAAACTCTCGACCTGTGAATCGGATGTGTCATGTGCTGGCCTTGTCCCCGTCCAGTTTAGCAAAGGGGGAAAAAGTCCCAAGACATGACATGACACCGTGACGACACAAGTTTGACACACCTGTTCTAGCAGAAACAGGGACAGAGAAGGCATCAGAAGGAAGACAGTGTTCTGAGCAGCTGCCTTGGAGAAGGCATGAGAGGACAATCAGGAAGACATAATTAAACAGGGAAGGAAGGACGGAAAAGGAGTCAAGATCAGTCCTTGTATGAGTTCACTAAACAGATTCTCCCCAAGAGCGTCTCAATAGAATGCGCCCTAGTAATTTCCACCTCCTGATCACTTATTTATAATATAATCTTCTATTCCTTTTCTCATCAAATGTAAGGTCAGTTTCTGCAATCTACTTAGGGGTGAAGGAGATGAGGGAAGTTGGTCTCCTACTTCGGTATTTTCAAAATAATATTTTTTAGCTGTTTCAATTATTCAAACTACTCCACATTCAGTACTTCATTTTGCTTCAGCCCAATCTTGTAACTAACTAAAAGTTAAGTTAGTATACAGATAGTCCTTGACTTAGATCCACCACTGAGCCCAAAATTTCTGTTGCTAAGCAAGCCAGTTGTTAAATGAGTTTCGCCCAATATTCTGACCTTTCTTGCTACAGTTGTTATATGAATCCCTGAGGTTGTTAGTAACACGCTCGTTTAAGTGAATCTGGCTTCCACATTGTCTTTGCTTGTCAGAAAGTCACAAAAAGTTATCACACGATGGCAGACATGAGAACTGTCATGGCAATACATGCCAGTTGCCAAGCATCTGAATTCTGATCACATGACCATGGGGATGCTGCAATGGTCATAAATGCCAAAAACAGTCATAAGTCACTTTTTACAATGCCACTGTAACTTCCAACGGTTACTAAACAAATGGTTATAAGTCAAGGACTACCTGTACTTTTTTTTCATTCTCATAGAGGCTGACAAACAATGTTTTGGGTCAGGCCACAGAAGGATTAGTTAGAGCAGAAATACATCAGATTAGGATTTTACCAATTTACAATCACCAATTTAAATCACCTAACCCCTAAGACATACCTTGACAATTGTTTTAGACAAATTCTTAATGATCTCTGAATAAAAGACATAGAGTTCATTAAGTATTACCTCTGTAGATTCCACAATGCCTCTCATCCATCAATCATTTATTTTTATATCATTTTTAACTCAAGGCAGTGAACATATCTAATACTACTTCCTCTTTCGATTTTCTCCATAACAACCACCCTGTGAGGTGAGTTGGCTGAGAGTGAGTAACTGGCCCCAAGTCACCCAGCTAGCTTTCATACCTAAGGCAGGACTAAAAATCCCATGATTAAGATGTCTAATTGTCATAATCAATAATAAACTGACATATGTACATACATTCATAGCACTATTAGAGCTTGGAAGAGAGGAAGCATCATTTTTATAGGAAAAGATTCATAATCAACATTTGAAAAACATTAACAAAGATACCAAAGCTGCAATTCCATGCTTCTAAATATGAAAACAAATCTATAGTAATAACTTTAGAGTAAAAGTGCATAGAATTTACACCGCCAGGATTTAAACATCGAAACATCTGCAATCTGATACTGAAAATACTACAAATATTCACCAATTACCAAAAGCCTATTATTCCTATAAATTTAAATTTAAGACCCAGAGACTAAGGTGTTTTTTTCATAACTCACAATCACTGTGTATGATTCAGATTTAGTTTTCAAGTTTAGTTTAGTTTTCAAGACTGAAATGAGTCCCTGTGAAATCAAGAACATACATAAAAGGGAGAGAACAGAAAACTGGGTCAGCTCCCCCCCGCCACAGCTACACAGGAAATTCCTGTTTGTATTGAGGAGGGACTGAAGGAATGAAGGACAAATCACATCCTTAACATTCCAGGAATTGCAAGCCTACCAGATAAGGGCAGTTACAGCCTTTCAGTTTTGCAAGCCAAGGATTAGCTACAAAATCTGCATTCTTCTAAATAACAAGATATTTCTAATAATGAATGAAATACGCTAGAAAGATTCAGAAAATATGCATGTTGTGTGGAAACATTTCCAGGCCCATTTAGACTGCAACTGGATACACAAATAAATCTTCACTGAGTTTTAAGCACACATGACAAAAGCTGCCTTCTATCTGCCAGATTTGCACACTACCCAGTCATAATATGATTTTGACTGTGTTCTGTAAATTCAGCCAGTTGTGCTTTACACAGTAAATCACAATTTAGAAATAACCACTGGACCTATTCACATGACATACTGCATTAAAAAAAATCTTATAGCCTGTGCATACTACCATATCCTACATCCAACCATGTTCTGTATTTTAACTTTTGATGCTCACTTTATTTTTTACAAACCATTATGAGTTAACACAATCCAGTTGTAAATCAAAACCAAGCAAATTACATTACAGCCACAGATAAGTAAGCAAATTCTTTGGATTAGGCCTGTTCCATATTCTTAAACTGGATGAAACCAGGAATCATGTGTAAAGCAGCCAACCAGAAGGAAGATAAAGAGTGCATGGGGCTGAGGCTTGAAAATTGTGGTCTCCATATTGTGCAATCAGTTCTGTGTATATTTTTACCCTTTCATAGAGGCTTAAATAAATAAAAAATAAGCTTACTATTTCAGCAATTGCAAATTGGATTAGCAGTAAGATATACAGTAAAGTATAATTGGTGACTAATTTCAAACCATGTACATGCCATATCTCTCCCCCCCTCCCAAATTAGTCAATGTTATGCTGTTACTAAGCAAAATTTATACTGTATCCCTTTCAGTATTTTCAGTTTCCTTTCTAAAAAATGACTGAACTTTTACAAACTGGGAGATTTCCCTAAGATTCTATTGAAAGTATGATTCTGTCTACCCTCCCCTGGAAAAAGGCCTCAGTTCTGTGTACTGCAACAGAAAGAGGGAATAAAACTACTTTTTAGTTCAGGATCCAGAAAACACTTGGGGCCTATGCTTTTACAATAGTCAAGATTATTATTTTCCCTTGATTCATTTTAATACAGTCCATTTATATTCATCTTAAAATATATACTTTTACAATCTAGCCTTGGTTGTTTCTCTATTGAAGTAAGGTGGTTCTGGAAAGAAAAGATTGACTTTCCATTTTCAGATTTTCCATTTTCACACAAAATGTTATGTATTTCCTGCATTGTAAATTAGGTTATCTCAAAGTGGGTGGTCAGAACACAAAGGGTGGGAAGAGCTGCCAGGAGGCTGCTTTCTATGAGCAGGCTTACCAGTTTAATGCAAACTAAGAAGCCTTTTTTGTTTTTGTATGCTACTTTTCTTTTCAAAGGGAGCAATCAAGGTTGGAGAGCACAAAAATTTAATTCTGATCTTCACTGTGCAGATAGAATTACAAATAGGAAGTGAAGGATTGAGATTATTGGGAAGAGATCATCAAAAGCAGAAAAAGTAATCATGCAAAAAAAAAAAAAGATTTTGCAAGCTATAGTATTTCAAGAGAAATTGACTTAAGGCAAAGAAATACCTTTTACTTCCCATCTGACTAGTGAAAGAAACTGGCTGTCTTCAAAACGAAATTCAGATTTCAGAATGATACAAAAATAAGCCAGTTCATCCTTCCATTAAAATGTGATTTTAAACTTTTTCTTCAATTTTTCTTCAATTTTTCTTCAATTTCCAATAAGGTTTTATTTTCTAACACTATGTGGTTCTATCACTTTTTTGTTTGACGTAAAGATTAAAGGTGTACATTTATTTCTTGCACAAATAAGCCGGGATAATGAGAGGGTGAGGTGCTCAATCAATAAGTCCCATCTGACTTTTTGTATGTTATGGACTCTAGTATGCCATGCCCCCTTCTCCTCCACTATCTCTCAGTTTACCCAAATTCATGTTCATTGCTTCAATGCTTCAATCTAATCAGAAGGGGTGTGTATTGTAATACAATTTCACGTTATCATTTAAAAGGATTATATATTTTCAGAATTTGAGAAATCCTCCTTTAATTGATCACTGAACATTACACATTTTAAGAGGTTTTCTTGAGGAAATTCACAAATGCCAGTAAATAAAAAGGACTACTTCCTTCTTAAGAGTCACAAAGACATGATGGAACATAACAATGGCTAAAATAGAAGGCTTCAGATATCAGTCTGATGGTTAGTTAAGGAAAGTCCAGACTAGAGCTCCAAATAATTAGGATTTCCCCTCAAATACTGTCAAAAGCACCTTGTTGTTAAAGTGAAAGCTATTCTTTTAATCATAGTAATTTAATGAAGGATACCATCAAAAGCAGAGGAAACAATCCTACTCCAATCTACATTTAGAATTAGTGTCTCATGCAGTTATATTTAAAATCTTTTGTGACAAAAAAAGAAAACTAAAATGAAAGGAATCCATCTGTCCTTATTTTGTCCTCTTTTGAAAAAACTCAGGAGGATCTGACTTCATATTCTGATCAGAGAGCACCAGAAATCCCAGAGCTTTCAAATAAATAAAAATCCCACAAACATCTCCTGTATTATGGCCAAGAAAACTTCCTGGAGGTTGTCGGTGAAGTCACCAGCAAAGCTCTGCCGAAACAAGATTTGTTTTCCTTTTATAATTTTACATTGGCGCTTACAATCAATGAATATAGTTTATTAAATGTATTAAGTAATTTCTGAATAAACTGTTACGCAGATCCATAATAAAAAAATGAAAAAACGCTCCCCTCGGCCGTCGGGAAGGAGAACCGGCAGCGAAACGAACCTTCAGCTTAAACCGAAACGAAGACGTTGGGCCCTGCATTCTTCTCTCTTCCAACTAAGTCAGACTATACGCCTAGCATTTCCGTAACACAAACGCCCTGCGCGTTCGTATGAGGATGAGAATCGCGGAGCTTCTCCTTGGCGACAAAGCTTCCCTCTCCGCCACTATGGACTTACACTGCCATAAGCTTTTGTTTAAAGCGCATGGATAATAAGGCCGTCTCTTTTCCGCCGCTTCTCAAAGGCAGCGAACGTAATGAACTTTACTCAGGAGTAAACTCCCCGCGTTCATCCCTTTGCGCTCAGCCAAAGCGCAAAGGGCTAGTCTAAACGCAACTTTCTAAGCGGTGCTCGCTTGGGACAACACCCTTATTGAACGCGGCGGCGCTTACTCCGGAGAAACTGGCATCCGAAGGTCAAGCGCCCCTTTCCTTTTCAGGCAGAAACGTGCGCGCAACGAATCTCCTGAAGCGGAGTCCCCACTTCGCAGCCAGCTCTACTCACAGCCAGGGCGCCCTCTCCGCTCTGCTCTGCAACTCCTCAATACGACAGGCTCGCCATTTCGGGAAGCAACCCGAAACTACTACACGCAGTTGGTTGAAGGTGACGTTAAGCTTGGGAGCCGCCCAGCTCGAAATAACGCGGCCTGCGTTCGACTGACGAATGAAAGGACCAACAAAATATTACTATTTTGGGGGGAACGGGAGAAGATACGTTGTAATTTGTAATTACAATTCGCGTTGAAGTTTGTTCCTAGGAGTTTGTTTTGGTTCTACAACCGGAATATATGAATATGCTGTTTTATACTTATGATGGCATTCAGTTTGGCAGGGGGTCGATAAGACTTAAGTGGACTTTATCATCGCAGCTCCCCTCCAGTGTGATGTCCTAAATAAAAGCTTTTTCTTATTTATTTTTATTTATTTTATTTATTTATTTATTTATTTGATTTGCCAATTGTTTACAAGATAATAAGTATAAGTGTATACATAGTTGTGAATACATGAAATGGGTACATATAAGAAAAATAAAAGAATAAGAGAAACAATAGGACAGGGACGGTAGGCACGTTGGTGCGCTTATGCACGCCCCCTACAGACCTCTTAGGAAAGGGGTGAGGTCAATAGTAGACAGTCTAAGGTTAAAGTTTTTGGGGTTTGGGGAAGAGACTACAGAGTCGGGTAGAGTATTCCAGACATTGACCACTATTGCTGAAGTCGTATTTCCTGCAATCAAGTTTGGTGCGGTTTACTTTGAGTTTGTATCTATTGTGTGCTCTTGTGTTGTTATGGTTGAAGCTGAAGTATTCATTGACAGGTAGGACATTGCAATGTATGATTTTATATAC